GCTGAATATTAAAAAATAAAAGCAGGGGCTGGGAATGTGGCTTTGTGGTCAAGTGCTTTCCTAGCATGCATGAAGCCCTGGGTTTTGATTCCTCAGTACCACATAAACAGAAAAGGCCAGAAGTGGTGCTATGGCTCAAATGGTAGAGTGCTAGCCTTGAGTAAAAGAAGCTCAGGGACAATGCCTAGGCCCTGAGTTCAAACCCCGGGACTGGCAAAAAAAAAAAAAGAAAAGTGAGTACCATATGATTCTGCTATTAAACTCCTACCCATGTAATTGTAACCCCTCTGTACAGTATTTTCATAATAAAAATTAAAAAAAACTCCTACCCATGTATCCAAAGGAATATGTCAGAATACAGTAGAGATCATTTTGAAATCATGTTTATTGCAGTTCAGATCCACGGTCTATAAACTGTTATTTAAGAAGGGCGACCTGAATATAGTGAATATCAAGGACAATATGGAATGACATACATCTCTACAGACACTCTTGTAATCATGTGACATTGAAAATCAGAGACCGCTCTTCTTATGCCAAAGATTGTGCACTGCAAACAATTCCTTCTCACTGTCTTATTTGTTACTACTGAAAAAGAAGAAAAATCCCAGGCATATGGAGATTATGTTTTTTCCTTGTCATCAGAACATAGTTTGTTACAAAGTAAGATTATGAAGTTTTCTGAGATAGGAGGAGTACATAGGCTAGGACAGCCTTAAACTCCTCATCTTCCTTCCTCTGTCTTCTGAGTACCAGGTTAACAGGCATGTGCCCTTATACCAGGCCAAAAGTAAAAGAAAAAAAAATTGTGTGGGGACTAGGCCTTGAACTTAAGACCTTGTGTACATTTTTGCTTAGCTTTGTCACTAAAGGCCGACACTCTATCACTAGAGCCATACCTTTACTTCCAGCTTTTTTCCAGTTAACTAGAGATAAAAGAGTTTCAAGGATTTGTTTGCCTAGGTTGACTCTAAACCACAATCAGATCTCTAGTAATTTTATCATATCATTTCTGTAGGTGATAAAATTATTATTAGTGTAGTATTATTAGTATTACTGATAGTGTTATTACTAATAATAGTAATAATCATTATTAATTCCACTCATTGATTATTTACCACTAGATCCCACGTTCTGCCTTCTTGGACCAAACTATGTTAAGCTAGGTAGAGTAATTAATGCACACAAGAATGGGAAATCCTAGAGGTCCTGTTGGGGCTGAGGCAGGAGCACACCATTCCCCTATCCCAATCTCCTATCCTCCAGGATCTGGAGGATAGTTTTTACAAGATTATTTGTGCTTGCCCATGTAATTGTAACCCCTCTGTATGGTATTTTCACAATAAAAATTTTTTTAAAATGAGCTGGGAAGGTGGCTCAGTGGTAGAGCGCTTGCCTTGCATGCATGAGGCCCTGGGTTCGATTCCTCAGCACCACATAAGCAGAAAAAAAAAAAAAAGACGGAAGTGGCGCTGTGGCTCAAGTGGTACAGCGCTAGCCTTGAGGTGAAGAGCTGAGGGACAGCGCCCAGGCCCAGAGTTCAGGCCCACAACCAGACCCAAAAATAAAACAAAACAAAAATTTTAAAAAAGATTTCACAGAAGAGCAAACATGAAAAAAAAAAAAAAAAAGATTATTTGTGCTACAGTGCAGGCAAGAATAGAACAGCTAGGAGCTGGGAGCTGAACATCTGTAATCCTAGCTACTCAGGAGACCAGGACCTGAAGGATCATGATTCAAAGCAAGCCTGGGCAAGAAAAAGTCCATGAAACTCTTATCCTGTTAAGCACTTTAAAAAAAAAATCAGAAATGGAGGTGTGTCTCAAGTGGTGGAGTACCAGTATTCAGTGAAAAAGCTGAATGTACAAGGCCCTGAGTTCAAGACTAACCACCAGCATAAATATATATGAACACTTCCTGTTCAAGGAGTCTGGATTCAGAGTGGGACCCCATGTGACATTAGAACAATACATTGATTTCTATTAGCTGCACTAAGGTATGAAGGTGACACAGGCTTTATACACGTTTCTGATATCCTTAATGCCAGCATGGTGCAGCTGGCTTTAGGTGACAGAGAAAGCTCATCTCCCAGAGATCCTTTTTACAAACTTGACTAAAAAAAAAAAAAGCTACACAGGGTAAAAAGTTTTATGTAGATGCCAGACTAGACCAATGTTAACCTGGACCCATTGTCTTCCTCTCTGAATAGCTGTTGCTTCATGAAAGCAAACCCTACTCTTACCCAAGCAAACTTTGGTACCATGTAGAGTACTCGCCTCCCAGTTCCATCCACTTACCTACAAAATTTAATTTTATTCTTTTTTAAGCTGAATATTAAAAATAAAAGCAGGGGCTGGGAATGTGGCTTTGTGGTAAAGTGCTTTCCTAGCATGCATGAAGCCTTGGGTTTGGTTCCTCAACACCACATAAACAGAAAAAGCCAGAAGTGGCACTGTGGCTCAAAGGGTAGTGGACTAGCCATGAGCAAAAGAAGCTCAGGGACAGTGCCCAGGCCCTGAGTTCAAACCCCAGGACTGGCAAAAAAAAGGAAAAATGGTGGTGGGAGGATCCTTTGGATTGTTTGGGATTAAGTTAACCTACTATTGTTATTGGTAGAATCTATCACTTACTATGCAAATTGAAACTTGAGGGTGCAAAGGGAAATCACTGATAATTATACCCAGATTCCATATAGATAGTCTGTCTGTCCAGAGCAAATTGAAAAAATGTTTACATTCTTGTTAAGGGAATTTTTGAGTTACAAAAAGTCAAACATGAAATCCTGGGCAAAAATTACATCCATTACAAATGCAATACTTGGAACAGAATTGATTTTTGCCTATCTTGATTTTTTTTTCCTTCTGTCCACTTCCTATACTTTTGAAAGTGAGAAACAGGGGTTTTTACACTTCCCTGCACTGTTCACTAATTCCTCTATGGGCAACGTAGAATGATTTTTTGGTAAGGATTCAACAACAAGAATTTATTTTCATCTTTGAGAGAAGAGAGTTAAGCATCCTCTAACAATGTGCCCTGATGTTTCACTGGATGAGACCAATGACTGTTTCTCCTCCTGCTTTTTGGTTTTGGGTTTTTTTTTTTTTTTTTTTTGTTTCTACCCCATATAGTTACAGGGGTGGGCTAGGGCTTGTGGAAGCTTGATTTGGGATACAGATCCAAGCCACATTTTCTTTTCTTTCATTTTCCTTCCTTCTTTTTCCTCTTTCTTTTTTCCCCTTTTTAACAAACTTAGACTAAAAAAAAAAACTACACAGGACAAGAAGTTTCATGTAGATGCCAGACTAGACCAATGTCAACCTGGATCCATTGTCTTCCTCTCTGAATAGCTGTTGCTTCATGAAAGCAAACCCTATTCTAACCCACTCTTATCTCTTTCCTCCTTTCTTTTTTCTTTCTTTTTTTTTTTTTTTGCTTTTGGGTCCAGTTGTGGGGCCTGAACTCCGGGCCTGGGCGCTGTCCCTCAGCTCTTCAGCTCAAGGCTAGTGCTCTACCACTTGAGCCACAGCACCACTTCTGGCCTTTTTTTTCTGCTTATGTGGTGCTGAGGAATCGAACCCAGGGCCTCATGCATGCAAGGCAAGCACTCTACCACTGAGCCACCTTCCCAGTCCCTTTCTTTCTTTCTTGTGTCCATTTGAAGCTTGAACTCAAGGTCTCCTGCTCTTGCTTGGCTTTTTCACTCAAGACTGGTTTTCTACCATTTGAGTCACACCTCCACCTCCAGCATTTTTTAAACTGTTTTTTGCTTGCTTTGTTTCTTGGTACTAGGGATCAAACCCAGGTTGTTCTTGCTAGGCAAGCACTTTGCCACTGAGCTACATACCAGGCCCATGTCCAGGATTTTGCTAGTCAATTAGACATGAGTCTCTCAGATTTGTGGTAGTGCCTGGGCTGATTTGAAACTAGGATCCTCAGATCTGTCTCCTGAGTAGCTAGGATTACAAAAGCATGAGCCACTAGTACCAGCACACTCTCTCTCTCTCACACACACAGAACATAATCCAATCCTCATTTTGTACAGCTCTTCCAGCTACCTGCCTTTAAATTCTTTAGCTTGCAAAGATGTTCCTGTTCTGGTACCTTTGATCCAGTCCTGCATCCAGTCTTGTGACGCTGTTCTTTAAGAAGTTCTGAGGGCTGGCAGCTCGTGCTTTCAATCTCGTTCTAAATATCTCTTCCTCAGAGGCTTTCTCTGAACAGGCAAAAACCCATAAAGTGGCACCCATCCACTTCTTATGACAGTCTTTTAATTACCCGCAGAACGCTCATCATTTGTAATACTTAATTTGTTGCTTATTACCCTGATTTTCCTCTCCCTAGGACATTACCCTCCTTTGGGGCAGTTTCCTTCTCTTGCATGCACGATTGCCTGCCAACTGCCTGGCACCTGAACGAAACACTAACAGACGCTAAAATAAAAGAAAGTGAAATGGAGCATTACCTAGAGGTAGCGTGGCTAGCACTCGACCTTGAATTTAGGCTTAACGAGGTAAAAAACATCCAGGGGAATTATGTGTACACGCTCCTTCCTCTTCCTAACCATGCTGATCTTGCCCCCCCCCCTTACAGAAAGTGGCTTACAAAAGAAACTCGGAATCTTTTCCTTTCAGAAAAAAAAAAAAAATCAATTATGGCACAGCCATTCTAGATTCCAACGCGTCTCGATTCCATGGAACTAGCAGCAGGCCCGCCCCTCCGGAAGACCCCGGAGACGCCCCACCACCACCACCACCACTAGCCGGAAGTCGGCGCACCGAGTCTCCGCCCGGGGCCCACCGAGCCGGCCCCCGCGGCCACGCGCAGCCCTACGTAAAGCGTGGGGTTTCGCGACAGCTCAGGCTCCACCCCTCCCTTTGGCCACATGTCGCGTTGGTCTTCCCGTCGGACGCTGCGCCACCTCCTCGCGCTGCTTTACGAACCTACAGCAGCAGCGCCCCGCCTCCAGTCTCAGGCCTCAGCTCCCCGCCCCCTCCCGGTTTCGCGTCTCCGAGTCCGACGCGCCCGCTATAATCACGTGATTGCCTCATCCGGGTCCTTTGCGTTCTCTCTCCCTCTCCCAACATGGCGGCCTCAGGTGAGTGAGCGGCCGAGCGCGGCTAAAGACCGGGCTCTGAAACTACCCTCTAGGTTTAGTCCACTCCTTGCTGGAGTCGGGGAGCGGGTGGCACCGGTTCCTTTCGGCCTCGGGGGCTGCGGCAGGCTGGCGGCATGGCCGTGTTGGGTTATCGCCTTAGGATGTTTACGGGGGGGAGACGGGAAGGTGCCCTTCCCCTCCCCCACACACCCTTTTCACCCCGTCTGCGCGAGGTTGGAGTGGGCCGTAATGGTGGGCTCTGGCTGGAATTGGAGGAGGCGGCGGCGCAGGGAGACCTGCGTGGGGAGGGGGGGGAGCGCGAGGCCTCCTCGTAGAGGAGAGCCCGGCGCCCGCGTGGAGGCGTGGAGGAAGGAAGGAGGAGGCGGTTGGCGCGCGGACGGGTGCACCCTCGCCTGGATCTCCGAGGCACGAGGCCGTTGCGGACGGGCATGGGGGGGGGCAGGGGTGAGGGGGGGCAGTTAGAACGCGAGCGCGAGTCGGTGGTGGGGCGGGGGGAAGGCGGTGCGCGTGCGCGGTCCGAGAGCCGAGGGTAGTGGTGAGACGGTGCGCCTGGAAAGCATGCGCTGCGAGCCCAGATGGGGGCGGGGGAGAAAGCGTTTACGCACCGGGGTTGCGCTCAGTTACGTCCTCGGGCTTTAGTGCTGCTTTTTCTTTTTTTTAACCCCCCTCCTTCGGGGAGTGTGGCCCACCCTCTTTTCCCCTCCCCACCCCGTATTTCTCTCCGTGACAATGTAGGTTAGATCTGGAGGTTGGCACTTGCTAGAGTTAGTTGGAGGTAAGAGAACCCAGCATGGTTGGTGCCCACGTGTCAAAAAGGACAGGAGGCAGGAAGGAGCACCTAGATTTCGCCCCAGCCTTGTTCACCTACTCTTAGCTGTAGCTTGTTGTTGTTTAGTAGTAGTAGTAGGCGTAGGAGTATGTTTTTACTGAGGGCGGACCGTCTGTCAGGCCCAATTTTAAGTGTGAACAAGAGAAGATCCCTGTCTTGGGGAGCTTGCGTTCTAGTTGAATTCCGGTGTAGGGTTCGTTTTCTTAGACCACTAATAAAACTTTTAGAAGTGCTATTAAAATAACGGGTTGCTTGAGTGTGGCTCCAGTGGTAGAGTGCCTTTAAATTTTAAAAAAAAAAAAAAAAACTTGGATTGTCTCTGCCATTTAAGTTTACCTGCATTTGTAGCCGAGTACCCCTGGGCTTTGTAACATCTAGTGGTTATTCTAGTTTGGGACATATAGATTGGTTTTCCGGGCATGACCGCAACCTGCATTACTGAAAATTCACTAAGAATTGGCTGTCTCTGAACGCTCGTGTAACAGACAGGAAATTTTCTTCACTATTATTACAAGGAAGCAAAGGGGGATCATTGTCTTTTGGGAAATGTTGACAGAATTGAATTACATTAGAGCATAGGTTTCATTGGGTCACTGATCAAGCACTTTTGTATATGTTGTTGTTTTAGTTCATCCTCTGAGGCAATGTAAGGAAATTTTGTCAGCTGTGTCCCCGCTGACAAAATTTGCTTAAGGCCATATATTGGTTGGCAGGTGGCAGAGCAGGGTCAAAATCTTGGATATTCCAGACTCTATCAACTTGGCTATACCATGGTGTCTACCTAAATTTGAGAGTCTGCCCAAAAGCTAACTATTGTGTGAAGTATGTACATGGCCTAGATTTTCTACCTTGGCAGTTGAGTCTCATAATTTAATGAGAAGTCATATTTCCCTTCTCCATAACTTCTGTAAAATTTAGAGAGGTAGAAGATATCATAGCAGTCTCTGAGCTTAGTTTTGTTTAGTGTAATGCAAACTGGTTAAGAAGATTTACTGAATGGTATCCCTTTTGTTAAATCATATTGACTACCCCCTTGGAAATGCTCATTTCCTTTAGTTCAGTTCAGTAGCTCTTAATCTTTATAGCTTTTTCTGGTATCTAAGCATATCTAAGCATGAGGTTACATTTTGGTCTGCCCTTGAAGAAATTTTTTTTCCTATTTGACTTGTGTATGTGACAAGTATGACCCAGAAATTGGAAATGGGTATTGGGTTTTCTCTCTGGAAATAGATGATCGAGTTTTATAAATTTTATAAATCTGTTCAGGACCAAGCATCTTTGCAGCAGTACCAGTTTCCAGTGTAACCTGATCATGGCTTTCAGTGTCAGAAAATGTCTTGAACTTGTATTGAATGAGGGTAATTGAATCATTTCTGGGAAACTTTGTTAACTGAGCCTGGGCATTTAATTCTTTACTTGGTTGCTTTGAGCAGGTTCCCAGTGCCTGTAATCCTAGCTACTCAGGAGGCTGAGATCTGAAGGTATCAGTTCAAGGCCAGCCACTCTTATCCCAGTTAACCACGTAAAAAAAAACGAAGTGTGGAACTGTCACTCAAGTGATAGAGCACAAGCCTTGAGCCAAAAAGTTCAGGGATAGCACCCAAATCCTGAGTTCAAGACTGACACCAGGGGGCTGGGAAGGTGGCTCAGTGGTAGAGCGTATGCCTTGCATGCCAGAGGCCCTGGGTTCAATTCCTCAACACCATATAAGCAAAAAGAAAAAAGCCGGAAGTGGCGCTGTGGCTCAAGTTGTAGAGCACTAGCCTTGAGCTGAAGAGCTGAGGGACAGTGCCCAGGCCCAGAGTTCAGGACCCATGACCGGACCCAAAAAAAAAAAAGACTTGACACCAAAAAGAAAGGGATTTGGCTGGGGCATATCTGGCTCCCAGATATACGTGTGTAATCTCAGCACTTCAGAGACTGAAAGAGGCTCAGTAGTAGGGGACTGGACAAAGCTACATAACAAATTCTGTCTCAGAAAACTCCTTGAATCTGTTTGGCATTTTTTTTCATTTTAATAGTATTCTGTGTTCTGCTAACCTATACAATACAGTTGAGATAGGACCTCATTATATCATATAAAACTAATTTTAATGGCTAGGCTCTAAGAGCAGTATAATTTGTTGCTTGTATAGAGTAATGTTAATTTGAGGAAACATTGGTTAATCACTTATTAGTTGTTTCTACCAAGATTTGGTTCTCCTAGATTTTTTTGTCTGTGCTAGCGTTGACTCACTATTCTTAGAGATCTCAATTTACTACCTTGCCAGGATTATGGGCATGAGCACCAGTACTCAGAAATAGCTTTGATGTTAAAATACCAGTTACCTCTTTAGTTCCAGTTTCTTCATTTGTAAAGTGGATATAGTTTATCTGCTCACCCCTTACTAATAAGGAGTCAAATATGTTTTATAAAAATTAACATTTTCAATGCCTTAAAACTGCAAATAATTATGTAAGATGTGCCTAGGGGTTTTTTGTTGTTGTTGGTTGGTTGGTTTGGTTTAGTTGGTTGTGGGGCTTGAACTCTGGGCCTGGGCACTGTGCTGGGCCTTGAGCTCTTCAGCTCAAGGCTAGCACTCTACCACTTGAGCTACAGTACCACTTCTAGTTTTCTTTTTTCTTTTTTTTCTTTTTCTTTTTTTTTTGTGGGGGGGGGGAATGCAGGGGGTCCGATCATGGGGCCTGAACTCTGGGCCTGGCCCTCAGCTCTTCAGCTCAAGGCTAGTGCTCACCACTTGAGCCACAGCGCCACTTCCGGCTTTTTTCTTTTTGCTTATGTGGTGCTGAGGAATCAAACCTAGGGCCTCATGCATGCAAAGCAAGCGCTCTACCACTGAGCCATCTTCCCAGCCCCGCACTTCTAGTTCTCTGGTGGTTAATAGAGATAAGAGTCTTCATGGGCTTTCCTGCCTGAGCTGGCTTTGAACTACAATCCTCAGATCCCATCCTCCTGAGTAACTAGGATTGTAGGCATGCACCACCAGCGCCAGCTAACGTGATTTCTTGTTTGATTAAGATGATGTTCAGGGGCTGGGAAGGTGGCTCAGTGGTAGAGCGCTTGCCTTGCATGCTCGAGGCCCTGGGTTCGATTCCTCAGCACCACATAAGCAAAAAGAAAAAAGCCGGAAGTGGCGCTGTGGCTCAAGTGGTAGAGCGCTAGCCTTGAGCTGAAGAGCTGAGGGAGAGCGCTCAGGCCCAGAGTTCAAGCCCCACGACTGGACCAAAAAAAAAAAAAAGATGATGTTCAGTGGTTGTTTTCATGCAGTGCTGCTTTTTGTAGTTAAATAGTTTTAGAGTCCTAGTCATGAATGAAAAGACTGCGCAATGGAATTCTATGCCTCCATCAGAAAGAATGACATTGCCCCATTTGTTAGGAAATGGAAAAACTTGGAAAAAATTATATTAAGTGAAGTAAGCCAGGCCCAAAGAAACACGGGTCCCATGGTTTCCCTTATTTGCAATATCTAGTATATGTATGAGTCAAGCGGAAAAGGTCAGATAATGTGATGTTAGGAAAATGAACCCTTAGATATGTATTTTAATTTTTTTTTCTTTCATGTATGTGTTTCTAACACATTTATTTTATTTTTTTTTTTTTTTTGGGTCCGGTAGTGGGGCCTGAACTCTGGGCCTGGGCGCTGTCTCTCAGCTCTTCAGCTTAAGGCTAGCGCTCTACCACTTGAGCCACAGCGCCACTTCCGGCTTTTTTTTTCTTTTTGCTTATGTGGTGCTAAGGAATCGAACCCAGGGCCTCGAGCATGCAAGGCAAGCGCTCTACCACTGAGCCACCTTCCCAGCCCTTCTAACGCATTTATAAGATTATTTCTTTGTTGCTTTGTATGTCCCTCCCCCGCAGTATAACCCCTGCTTTCACTATATTTGATGTCAGTGTAACTTGTGGAGGAGATGGGGAAAAACAAGTCGTTTAAGAATTCAGGTGGACCTGTTGCAACAATGAGAAGTACAAATTGTCATGTCAAAAACAGGCTTTGGGGGGCTGGGAAGGTGGCTCAGTGGTAGAGCGCTTGCCTTGCATGCCTGAGGCCCTGGGTTCGATTCTTCAGCACCACATAAGCAAAAAGAAAAAAGCCAGGAGTGGCGCTGTGGCTCAAGTGGTAGAGTGCTAGCATTGAGCTGAAGAGCTGAG